TGTTTAAGGACAGTTTCACAGTTCCAGTGAATGAGATAAGGGTCCTATGGAAAAAACAGTATGTAATCATGTAATTACAGACTATCATTTTGGATATGCACAGAGGAGCCTGCATTAAGATTGCATGGCAATTTTAATTCTTGCATTTCTTAACTTTCAAGTGTTTGACTTTATACCAAAATAATTTCTTTTAAAATAAACAAGTGGATGTGGAGGAGAGGAGGATGGGAACTGGGTTTAGTCTGCAGAAAAGTGAGGGGGGATTTGATAGCAGCCTTCAACGACCTGAAGGGGGGTTCCAAAGATGGAGAGAGGCTGTTCTCAATGGTCTTAAGTTGCAGTAAGGAAAGTTTAGGTTGGATATCATATTAGGAAACACTATTTCAGTAAGGAGGGTTATCTACAGAGGTGATGGAATCTCCATCCCTAGAGGTTTTTAAATTCCACGCTTGACAAATCATCCTGGCTGGGATGATTTAGTTGGAATTAGTTCTGCTTTTAGCAGGGGGTTGGACTCAATGACCTCCTGTGGTTTCTTCCAACCCCATAATTCTACGAATTTAACTACATTGGTTTCAGAATTGATTGAAATAAATCAGCACAACCTTTTTTGTGCTTATAATAAGGGATTAATGTAGGGCCTATGTCCATTGCCTATAAATTCCTTAATATGGACCCTGAGCTAAGGCCCTAGATTCATGCAGACACCCATATAAAGATTTGCCTGTACAAGTCTGTTGCAGGATGAAGATCCTTGACGCAAGGCTCTTTTAATGAATTTTTTACATCACACTTGAGTGCTATTATGTAATTAGCAAGTTGAAGCAACTAATATGCTTACAACTCAGGAATATTATATATTTTTGTCTTAGCAGAACTGAAGAGGGTAAGCACATACAGTGAATAAAGGTATAATAATAATGCAGGTAGGCACACCTGTGCAAGCTTTGATCTAGTTAGGACAGGAAATAATAGCAGTGAAGATGTGATGGCACAGGTTCAGCTCTGGCTAGCTGTCTTAACACAAAGCTGCCATGTATGTATTCTGGGTACATGTGTAGACTGCATGATAATCATAGCTTCATTTGCTATGTAGACATACCTGATCACAGAAAACAAGTAAATACAGTAATTAAAATGAGACAATAAGAGTAGCAGAACAAATGCAAAGCCAAATACAGAAGAGGGACATGGGTAGTGACCTGAGGACATATGGGGTTATCTGGGAATTAGGGATGTGAAAGATTAACCAGTAAGCATCACTCTTAACAGGAGATGCTTACAGGTCCTGGTTAACTGGTGGGGACTGGAGCAGTTCTCTGCCTGCCAGAAGGCCTTGCACATCACAGGCAGGGGCTGATCCATGCATCCATAACAACCCATCTGCAGCAGCCTAGGTAATTCAGATGCCCCTGCCCATGGCAGGCCTGGGCAGCTATAGGCATGAGTTGCTCCCGGTGTCTGGAGCAGCTCAGCTGTGTCTAGACTGACCAGTTTTTCCGGAAAATCAGCTACGTTTCCGGAAAAACTTGCCAGCTGTCTACACTGGCCGCTTGAATTTCCGCAAAAGCACTAACTTCCTACTGTAAGAAATCAGTGCTTTTTGCGGAAATACTATGCTGCTCCCATTCGGGCAAAAGTCCCTTTTGTGCAAAAGGGTCAGTGTAGACAGTTGTGATTTGTTTTGTGCAAAAAAGCCCCGATTGCGAAAATGGCGATCAGGGCTTTTTTGCGCAAAACCGCGTCTAGATTGGCATGGATGCTTTTACGCAAAAAGTGCTTTTGTGGAAAAGCGTCCGTGCCAATCTAGACGCTCTTTTCGAAAAATGCTTTTAACGGAAAACTTTTCCGTTAAAAGCATTTGCGGAAAATCATGGCAGTCTAGACGTAGCCCTCCTGTCTACAGCGGCTCAGGTGCGTCATAAGCATCCACCAATGTAGGTATCCGGAAATGTGGGTATCCCCGGCTCATTCTTGCAGATGAAGATGCAAGTATCAATTTTATATCTTCAGAGAGCTCTATCCGTCTGTTGAGACCCCAAGAATACTGCATGACGTGGGGGTGGAGAGAGACACAGCAGTCATCGTGTCAAGACACTGTAGGGCAGAAACAACTTTACAGCCCCACGTGGCAGAAAAGGTGACAAGGCTGCCCTTCATGGGCTCCTCTGCCCTAATAAGTGATAAGAATAAAACAGTCGTGGGGCTGGAGGGACCCTCAGGGAATTGGGGGGCGGGAGATGCCGGGGTCCTAAGTATGTGGTCTGCAGAGCCCCGTCACCCCTGTTTTGGGGGACGGGAACTGCTGGGATCACATGGTTAATGCTCCCTTGGGAGTGGCTGCTGGGAGCCCTGTCAGCTGTTTTGGGGTCCGGCGGGCCGGAGCGTTCAGGTGCCGCTGGGATCGGGCCCGCGATGAGGTCACCAGCGGCTTCCCGGAGCCTGGCGGCGGCTGTCGTAGGGACCTATGAGAAAGCAGCAAGCCCGGCGCGCGTGCGCGCAGGGCCGCTCCCGGGTGCGCGCCCCCGCC